GCTAGAACTATTGTAATCATTTCATAATAGCTGTAAATCAAACCATCATGCTGTACAACTTAAACTTATAAAGTGATGTATGTCAATTATTTCTCAATTAAACAGGGAAGAAGAAATAGAGACCAGTCTTACCTTGACCTTTGCCAGTCTCTGGCTCTCAGTGAGAGTCTGCTACCTCCTTTTATTTTTTTAGCCACCGACCTATTTCCACTCCTTCCACACTTCTGACCATCTTTTATTGTGCATGTTTATGGGTTTTCTCTTCACTTTAAACCCTCATTAACAAATTCAACACACATTTATGGAGCACCTAGGGTGTGCAAAGCCATGTGCTGAGCTTTGAGGGCAATCACTGCAGATATAAGACTCAGTTCTTTCAAGATGTTTGTGCTCTAGCTAGTACATAACTGGTCTTTTGCCCACATGAAGTGAGAATGACCTACTGGGATGAATGCAGAAAAAACAGATTTTCTTTGTAATCCAGGAGGGAAGGAAGAGAGAGCAGGGGCCAATAGGAGTATTCAGGATTGTTCATGGCCCATCTTCTATTCCAGTAAGTATAACCACCTCATTCCCAGCTAAAAAGTTTTGCCAGTGACTCAGTCTTTCCAATACTGAGCCCTTTCCCCATACAGGATTGCCTTAGCAAATGTAGGCACGTGCCTTGCATCCTTCCATAGCGTGAAGACTTGGAACCTGGGGGCTGGCTCCTGACCCGCTTAGTGTCTGGTTTTCAGACCCTTTTCTGTTTAATGAAAACCAGTGACATACTAGGCTGGCAAAAAGAGAAAAATCTCATGTAAAGAAAGTGATTGTTATTGTTTCTTCACATATCAACACCATACAGCCTTGTCATGTTTCGGCTTAAAGGTTAGCATTCGTTATTGCCGGTGTCCTCATCTATGTGATTGGAAACTGCGTAACCGAGGTAGTTCCTATGAGTTTTCCAAGCAAAAGCTGAAGCCTTTGGCCTCCAAAAACGATCCTAATCAAGAATAAAATAGGAAGGGGTGCCTGGGTGGCTCAGTGGATTGGGTGAAAACTCTGCCTTCCACTCAGGTCATGATCCCAGGGTCCTGCGATCGAGTCCCACATTGGGCTCTCTGCTTGGCGGGGAGCCTGCTTCCCCTTCTCCCTCTGCCTGCCTCTCTGCCTACTTATGATCTCTCTCTCTCTCTCTCTCTCTCTGTCAAGTAAATAGATAAATAAAATCTTTAAAAAAAATAAAATAAAATAGGAAAAAAGTAAACAATGAAAAATGTGAAAAAAATAAGCAAAATTTTAGAAGTATAGATATTTTCATGATCGCTTCCTCAAAGAGGTATATTATAAAGAAAACAAAAACAGACTAGTTCCTTCTTCCTTAGGTAAATACGGTTCCTGAGTAAGATTTTTCAATGGAAAAGTGTTCTTTTTTTTAGGAAAATTAGTAACACATTCAAATAAAACTCATGAGGTCACCTGCAGAATGAGGGGTCTGGAAGTACTGATATATTTGCCGTTCGGGTCCTTGTTTTCATCATAGTCTCTGGAGGAAGCTGCCCCGGGATTTCTCAAAGTTGACCGGTAACCGGAAACATGCAACATCGGTCACTTCTATAAGCATTTCTTGGGCCCCAGAATGGACTGGTTTTTGTGCTTTCCTACAAACACTAAATTTCACCCAAATATACAAAAGGGAAACTCAAGATCCGCAAAGCTAAATATTCAGCTCCTTATTCTTCTTTCTTTTTCCTATCAAGTTAATGAGAAGGGCTTTTTTTTTTTTTCTCCTGTTTAAAAATCATTCTTGTGTGTGTGTGTGCCAGGGGTCTCTGTGTGTGCACATAACACGCACACAATATTCACCTGCCCTTAGAAGTCACTCTGGCAAAACCCAAAAATGCTGGGTTTTGAGGAGAAAGTTATTCTAAACAATAGCAGCGCCCCCCGCCATCAAAGAAGGAAAATTCTTCCATCACTCTTTGAACCTTAACAGTGTTTTCGTAGGCCAGCTCATTGTTTTTCTTCTCTATGAAAAATTAAAAACAATAACTGTTTTGATGAGTTCTCCGGGAAAAGACAGTTTCCATGATTTCATTTCTTGACAAAGAACAGCTACCTCACTTGGTTTCTGCCACATGTAAGCAAACTCCCAGCTGTAAAACCTCCCATCAGAGGAAAGGATATGGGTCCACAAAACCCTCAGAGTTCTTCCCAATCGCCCATGGGAAGAAGCCCGCCTGTCCCTTGCTGGGAGAGGTGAAGGAGTCGCAGGGGTGAGGTGTGGGAGAAGAGATAACTGGCTGCCCCACCCCACCCCACCCCACCCCTGTGTGGTCACAGCGACATTCAGGGTGGATTCTGCCCTGTCACCACTTGGTCTGGGTTGTCTCTTCAAAAAATAAAAAAATAAAAAATAAAAAAAAACACAAGGTGTGCCTGTCTTTTATAATGTTCTGTTTTAAAGGAGAGAAATCTCCGCGGAGAGCCCAAGACCCTAAAAGTCCAAGGCCTGGAATTCCTCCTTTTTCTCTTTCCATTTTAAACAGGAAACATTCCCGCTAAGAGGGTCCGGAGGGAGCGTTGGTTGTATGTTCATTTTAAGGCAGATAATGTTTGTGTGTTGCAAATGTCTGTGATTTATCCCAAGGGCTTAAAATTAGTGCAGAAAAACCACATGTTTCACTTCATGCAGAGAAATAGCTTCAGTGGGTTTCAAGAGAAAGCACAGGTTTAGAATATTTTTTTAAGTGTTTCGGAAATCTCTAACATGAACCGAAAGGAAATAGACATGGCGGGCGGGGAGGAGGGGGGCTTAAAATATTTTAGGACAAAAGAGATAATGAATGCTGGAAGTTTTCTAAATCAAAAATAAAATTCAAAAGGAAAGGGAAGATGTAACCCCAATCCTTTATTTCCCAGGGCTGGAGTGACAGATTTTGCGTGTGTGCTCCATTTGTCATGGACAGTTTAAAAGAGAGCAAAGCAAACTGCACTGAATAACAGCAGTTGATGTTATAATAACTTGTACACAAACAATTTAATTTTTTATCTGAAAACTCCAGCTAAATTATCCCAAGCTCGAGGATCTTTCATTATTATACATAGCCCAATTAAGACATCAAAAAGTAGAAAGAGAGCGCTATCGTTCAGCCTCCTGACCGTGCTCACATGCTACTTTCCACAGGCACCCGAGCTTGGAGCCTGTCAAACCTTCACTGATTTGTGGGAACTTACAGAGCCGTTTTAACATCAAACTGCAGATTACAGGGTGATTTTGACCCTCATTGACGGTGCTTGATTAACCACAGACACTGTGTTCTTAGAGGTCTGTCATTGCTTTCAAGTGCTCTCCCAATTTGGATTCTGACATTGAAGAGCTTTTCATTAATTATTATTGTTGCTTTTTTTTTTTCCTTTTAAAAAATTACAGAAGGGGGCACCTGGGTGGCTCAGTGGGTTGAGCCGCTGCCTTCGGCTCAGGTCATGATCTCAGGGTCCTGGGATCGAGTCCTGCATCATTAAGACTTCCTAATAAAATAGTCTAATTGGTAGAAACAGAAATGTGGGATTCCTTTACATTAATTTTTTTTTAAGTAAGTTAATAACAAAAATTTATTTTAACATTAACTTATTTGGAGTAAAGTGTAATAATCTTTGCACAAACATAACACCATGTCTCATTCTACAAGTTCCCAAAAAGCTGAAATCAATTGATATCATTTTAATGAAGAAAGAATAAATGAATCATTAGAACTTGTAGGGAATTGGGGCGCCTGGGTGGCTCAGCGGGTTGGGCCGCTGCCTTCAGCTCAGGTCATGATCTCAGGGTCCTGGGATCGAGTCCTGCATCGGGTTCTCTGCTCGGCAGAGATCCTGCTTCCCTCTCTCTCTCTCTGCCTGCCTCTCCATCTACTTGTGATCTCTCTCTGTCAAATAAATAAATAAAATCTTAAAAAAAAAATTACAGAAGGGAGACTAGTAGAAAGTGGGAAGGATTGGGCGATGATAGCAGCGAATATGAACACAGAAGGTTTATGGGATTTTAAGAGCTACAAACAGAACTCATCTGTTTAACCCCAGGCTAGACAAGATGCAGTCATCTGTACACGGTTTAGAGACGGACGGCTTCTGTTTCAGCAAATGGGTCAGAGGATGCTTGTTGTCTTCGTAGAGACATCCAGACAGGGTCGGTCGCTTGCTGTGAGCGTTTCTTCTGGCCCCAGACCGTACTGTGCGCCTGCTCGTTACCCAGTGCTGGCTCAGCTCTTCCTGCTCTGCCCCTGGCCTGCTGGTGCTTCTTGGCTTGGTGATAGAATTGCTTTACCTCGAGGTTCTAGGTGGCTAATTCCCAGCTCTGGGTTAGGACTTTCTCTAGAGACTGTAGAGAGGGGAGGGCACATGGGGAATGTGAGAGAAGCTAACCAGAGTTAGACCGAGACCATGGCTCATGTCAACAACGCCCCACAGACCAAGCAGGGAACGTTATAAGCCTGAATAACCCGTACACTTCTACCGCCATGTCTGTGACATGGTTCTGTCATGGGAGGGAAGTATCGAGGAGGGGGTCAAGCCATCCCGCTTTAGGAGAGCTGAAGTCAGCCTTGTTTATTTATAAAACCAGTATGGCCACTGCACAGAAGGCCAACACACAGTGCTCTAAGCCAGGTAGATGTAGATTTCTCTCTCGGGCACCAATCTGAGTATCAGTCGTCCTGGCTGACATGGGGTTCCATGGTGTCAAGGACATGGGCCCTTGCCCTCTTGTTGTTGGACCTTCCTCAGCACATGGCTTCCTCCGTGTAGTGTAAAATGGCGGCTCCCACGGCCAAAAGGAAGGAGAGAAGGAAGAAGACAATTCCACCTCTTCTTTTTAAGGGCGGACCTCACTTCGGTTCACACCCCATGGGCCAGGCCTAGTCTGTGACCACACCAAACTACGCGGGAGGCTGAGGAATGGGGTCTTCAGCTGGACTGGCTTAGTAGCTGCTGACGTGTGTCTGTTCTTCTCTTTCCAGGGGAGGACCAGCCGATCCCGTAGACTATCTGACGGCCACACCTCGAGCGCTCTACAAGGAAAGGGAGCTTCCATATTACCCGGGGGTTCATCCTGTGCGTCCTCCCAAAGGGAGCTACCCCCGCCCCCCAGATCTGAGGGTCGCAGACCTCCGGTATCCTCAGTATTACCCTCCTCCGCCAGCCCCCCAGCATAAAGGACCCTTCCGACAAGATGTTCCACCTTCCCCCCCTCAGCACCACAGAGTGCCAGCCAATCCAGAAATGGGTAGACCAGGCCCCCGAGGGGGCAGCCCAGACCAGTATCCCTACCGAGCCCAGGATCCCAGGCAGAAGAGCCCCATGACTGCAGCCGTGTAGCTGAACGCCGCCAAGCTCAGCCCGGCCCAGGGAGGGACACGTGGGACATCACCTTTGCCCTTCCTAGACTTTCAGGACTTCCTCCTGTTCAGACTTCTCCATGGGATGGATGGGTTTTTCTCACCGAGGTTGCAACACTTGACTGCTGGCCAGAGGCAAAGAGGAGGGGACAGGAGGGTGGGGGATCCCGAGGAAGAGGGAGGACGGGCTCTTACAGTTACTGCCTGAGAGTCGAAAGACGTTTAGGATTGTTCAGTTCAGTGAGAGCGGCAGTTAAACAGGCAAATAACAATGGAGACGCTGCACACAGGGCCTCTCTGGTGCACACGAGCCCCATGGAATTGGCCGCGCGGAGGCAGTCTCCGAGGCTCGGGCTCAGCCCTTTAGGAAAGCTGTTAAGTCTGAAGAGTGGCTGCAAATACGAGCATCTTAAATGAGTAGTTTTTTGTTTTTTTTTTTTCCATTGGGAAAACAAAACAACAGCAAACATGACTCGTGATTTCCTTGAAATGTTTATACCCAGAGGAAGGCTGCATTTCCCTATTTGCAGAATTTATCAGGCTCCCGGTACCACTCATTTGGCAGAATTACTTTATGTTTTCTTACTTTTTATATTAGAAGAAAATAAGATATGAATGCAGTAGTAATGTCCTGGGAGACCGTGCAAAGCCAGTCAGGGCTTCCAGAAGGAATATATTCTGTGGACCAGGTTAAAGAGGGCCCAAAATCCCGTGGTCCTCACCTTCCTTCCCCACAAGTCCCGGGCAAAACATCACTGAGAGATCAGGTTTCAGAATCATCCCCAAATCTCCTGCCTGTAATTTTCGTAACCCCGGGCCTCTACTTTCAGGATCCTACTTGAGGGCTAAAATGTAGTTGGGAAAAGGAGATCCTGCTGGTTAGGTTACACAGGAAGCAATGCTCCGGAGACGCCAATTCATTGCACAGTGTCCAGTAGTGCCATCTGCACCGGGGACAGGGAGGGGCTGACTGTGGCCTTTGGGGCTGATAACTAGGAGGTGGAAGGTGGCAGTGACTAACAGTGTGTGTGTGTTTGTGCGTGCACACGTGTGTGTATGTGTGTGTGTGAAGGCATGTGATTACCAGAATGGAGAACGTACGATAAAAATGCTTTCTGGAAAGTTTGATGGGGAAGGAAATAAAAGGGAAAAAAAAGTCAGAAGGGAAAGGAGAAGAGGCGTGAAACCAGATCATTATTTATCTGCTGTATTTCAGTCACAAACATCAGGGCAACACCAAGGCCAGCATCTCCAACTGGAAAGTTTCGCGGCTTTGAAAAGCCGACACCCCCTCCCTCCAAAACCCATCATGTTTCCTTTGAGCTTTGCAGTGATTTTCTACTTATTCCAGCAGGACTTCTAAAACTTCCAACCTGACCCAAATGAGCACACAACAAAAGACTGAGGACCAGCAAAACAGCAAGCTTGAATTGTTCGGGGACGCTTAGACTTTAAGCCTTTGCTGCTCCTTCTCCATTCCCTCCGAACAAAACAAAACAGTCTTGAGTTCAATGTAGACATATTGTGGCTGAGATTAGAATACCCCTGACTGACAGGGTTTAATAAATTATAGTATTATGGAATATACAGAGTATCCAACCCAGTTTAGCCTTTTTTTTTTTTTTTAATTTAAAATAGAGTTGCATTACCAGGAATGAAGCAACCGCTGGTTTTAGACCTAAATGGTTGTTATTTACTGGACTTTAAGAGGTATCATTTTCTAAACTGCAATTTAGTTATGGCCATCTTAAAAACAGACTGTCAAGCGGTGTTTGGCCATCTGCCGTCTCTCGTAAGCGAGCACCTTATACTGTTTGCAAATTGCGCAAGGAGGCCGAGGGCCTTGTGCCCTGCTCCCCCAGAGGTGGAACGCAGGGGAGCTATGGGGCTTCTCCACGTGCTAAATGACACTTTCCCCTCAAACTAAATAAACTTTCCAGAAGAAAATGATGAAGTGAGGGAAAGGTAACGTGTTGGGGAGCATTAAAAATCAGCTCTTCGATCTGTTGCATAGTTTAACCAAATTTCTCCAGGCTGTTGGATGTAGTCAAGCCAGAGTCTCCTTCTGGATTAAGTCCAAGTCCACACGAGGGGCAGCCAGAGGCAGTGAGAGAAAGGGACATTTCTGTCCATGTCAGAGTAGGGGCTGTTGTAGAAAGAATGCCCATGTTTTGACCATGTGGCCACCTTGGGAGCACAGTACCTCCAGCTTACAGGCTCTGGGCAAGCCGCTCGAAGCATGATTTTGTGTTTATACAAAGTCAATAGAACACTTGTCAATCCTAGGGGGCAGCCAGGGATGAGAAGGTACTGTTAAAGTGAATAAAAAGTAGATTATAACCATCTTCTTTTCTTGCTTGACGTATATAACGCATGCCCTATTTGACCCTGACCAAAAGAAGCTACCTTATGTGTGACAGAGGCTGTGTCAAGCCATGCCATAACTGAAAGCAGGTTGAAGGTAAGCTTTATAAATGCCTGTGTCCCAGCCTTCCTCTGTCACCACCCAGAAGTTGCAGAACTCTTGCCCAGTCTCTGGGAGAGCAGGTTGTTTAGAATATTTAGAAGACCAGGCTGGAATCAGTAGTAGGAAGTAGTTCTCCGTTAATTTATAGCCTTGGAAAGACTCAATCAGGTGTTTGCTTGTTGCTCAGAATATAATAACCCCAGGGGGCACCTGGGTGGCTCAGTGGGTTAAAGCCTCTGCCTTCGGCTCAGGTCATAGTCCCAGGGTCCTGGGATTGAGCCCCGCATCAGGCCCTCTGCTCAGCAGGGAGCCTGCTTCCTCCTCTCTCTCTGCCTGCTTCTCTGTGATCTCCGTCTGTCAAACAAATAAATAAACTTAGATTAAAAAAAAAAAGAATATAATAACCCCAGGAACAGAGTGACACAGTGAGCTGCAAGCCCAACAACACGCACCCACTGGCTCCTGATCTGACCGCAGGGTCATCGAGGCCTTGAAAGGATGTTTTGGCCTGGAGTCACTAGATATTTTAAGGAGCTCTGTTTTATACCTTTCTGCAGGGGGAGAGATAGGAAAGGGAGCAGACCATTGAAAACTTTGAGGTGCAGGAGAATTCAGTCCTCTGCCAGGGAGGAAAACTGCATCTTGTTAACCCCATGTGCCATTGGACTGTGGCAATATCGCTCTTGGTAGAAAATTGCTTCCCCACAATATTGCATCAGTGGATGAAAGCCAATCTCAAAGACAGGCGCATCTTCTTAAATCATAATTGAGTAACAAACAAAAATTGAAAAAAAAATTATCGCGAAGTTCATTATTCCTAGATTTGTAGGTCAACATGCATTGACCCCACAGGACAGCAGGGAGCAAAGATCTTATAATCATGAGCGTGGTGAGACCCACAGAGCCACTGTCACCCCACGGAGCAAGCTGTGCCTACTGCCCGATAAAGGATGTGTGTGACTTCCTTGTAGCTTTGCTTGTGTCACCAACTAAATAAAATCAAAACGTGGTTCATTATTTCCTTTAAAGACTCCTGAACTTGTTGAACTGTCTTCATAAGGAAATGCACCTGACAAGGTGCGTAGAGTCTATATGCATAAAGACCCAGCCTTTAAAGATTATTTGTTCCTGTAACCTAGAACCCCAGCATTTGCTTTCTTTGGAGAAACATTTCAGCCTTTCAGGGGGATAGAGAGATCTGCAGAGTTTGGATAAGAATGTATGTCTATAAAATTCCCATAGGCATGAAACTCTGAAATCCGCAATGAACCGCCTTCAAATTGGTGCTAAATTGGGTAGACACCCTACTGCTTTCTGAGTCCAGGAGCAACAAAAAGTCCAGATTTCATGCAATTAGGCGGGAGGGACTTGGATCCAGAAACAGCCACAGGAGTATTTCTCTGCACTCCCAGTTTGCACGGACTTAGTGGGAAATGATGCCACAATGAGACCAGAAAGGAGAGTCTCCCTACAAAGTCACCTCTCTGAAAAAAAGGAGAATAAAAGGTAGATATCTAAAATAAGCCTAGAATCTGATATGCAGCTACGACTTCTAAGGGAAACTCTCTTCACCCTCATGTCCTTAAATAGTAATAGAATCACACAGCGCCTGACTTTTAAAGATGGGCTTAACTCACCAGCCTGGAGTGCCGAGTGAACTAACCCCAAAGACTGTCTCCTGACTTGGCTCTGGGAGAGTGTTCTCTTTCCTCGATGTGGACTGCCGTGCTGTTTACTACTGGAACATAAAAACAAGCCCTACTGTTTATACAGTCACTTCTTCTAGTGTTTTCCTGTGCTTTTATGACACCAAGTCTGTTCATAAGTTCTGAAGATAAATTATGTGAAATCGTATTTTGGCATACGGGGGCGGAGAATGAATTTCTTACAGACTTTTTAGGATGATCCCATTTGTACCACAGAAAACATTTTGGATGTTGTTATATACGAATATATAAATTTTTCTCGTTTTATTTTGCATTAAAATAAAGCTTTATTCAGTCAGTAAGACACCAGAGTGTTGGTTTTCATTCCCCACCTGTTTGTTTTAGGATGGGATGAACGAATAGGTTGGTCTGGTTCTGATCACCCTTGAACAACAACGTCATGGGATAGAGGATATGAGGAGAAAGCCTCTATCCCATGCCAGTCTCCCAAAAAACACACTCAAGTTGGAGACGAGCACGCAGGCCCTATGTTTGAGAGGGCCCTTGGGCTCAGTACCCACAGAAGGCAGAGCAAGAAGGCAGGGCTGGTATTGGCTACCCTTGAGGAGAAGGTGGGACCCAGGACTGGGCAGTTCTCTTCCAGTAAGGCAATCCCCAAAGGGGGCTGACAGCTGGGGACAATCTTTGAGAAGTATTCGTAGAGGTTGGGAAAATTGTCCTTCTTATATTTCTTTCTTTCTTTCTTTTTCTTTTTTAAGATTTATTTATTATTTGAGGTAGCGGAGGAGTAGAGAATCCCAAGCAGACTCTCCACTAAGCATGGAGTCCAACCCAGGGCTCAATCCCACAACCCTGAGATCATGACCTGAGCTAAAATTAAGAGACGGATGCTTAATCGACTGAGCGCCCTGGGCCCCCCAAATTGTCCTTCATTCTTGAAGTGCAATGTGGGCATTTCCAACCAACATCCAACCCAGCTGACCCCTCCTTCTCATGCTGGCAACGTTCTCACCTT